CCTTCAGGCTGTTTTAACGCAGCCAACCCCAGTCTTCTCCCTGGGATCTGACCTCCAAAGCCCGAGCCTCAGCTCCCAGCCCCGCCCGCCCTGTTGGGTGAGTAGACAAGCCTCTCGGGCTGGTGAGTGCTGGTCGGCACTGATCCTCTGTGCAGGAATCCCTCCCTTTTGCCCTCTGCACCCCTGTTGCTACACTCTCCTCCGTGGCTCTGAAGCTTCCCCTCAACCCACCCCCCCATCTCCACCAGTGAAGGGGCTTCCTAGTGCATGGAAACCTTTCCTCCTTCACAGCTCCCTCCCAGAAGTGCAGGTCCCATCCCCATTGTTTTGTCTCTGTTTTTTCTTTTTTTTTTTTCCCTACCCAGGTACGTGGGGAGTTTCTTGCCTTTTGGGAAGTCTGTGGTCTTCTGCCAGCGTTCAGTAGGTGTTCTGTATGCGTTGTTCCATGTGTAGATGTATTTCTGATGTATTTGTGGGGAGGAAGGTGATCTCCACATCTTACTCCTCCGCTATCTTGAAGGTCCTCTGTCTAGATTTTTTAATTATCCTCAGCAATGGGTGGGTCTAAATCACTTTGTCTGCTGTTACCAGAAACAAATGTTTCCTATAGTTATGTTTTCTTTGATCCATACAAATTTAAAATTTTTTTAATTTAAATTTTAAAGATTTTGAATTTTTAAATAAAAATTGGGATATCTGACTTTTATTGATGTATGAATTCACTCAAGACAAACATCTGGTAAAGCAGTTAGGGGACACTGACCCCTTACGAAAAGCACTTGCTCTCAATTTGGCTACAGTCGTCCCTCCTCCCTAGTGTCTGTATCTGTCCACTTTATTTATTTAAATAACTTGCTATCCTGGCTGCTATAGCATTTTTATTTAAAGAAGACTTCAAAACTTAATATGACTCTTTTGTTGTTCCTAGAATTTTGTTAGTAAATGAGATCTTCATTACTATAAAAGTTGGTCATTTTTATCCTTTTCTTCCACCATTTAGAAGTGTCAGCTTGGACATAAAGTAAATCATATTCCTTGTACTATTCCCATGAAGTCACTGAGCCTCTATCCAGCCAATGTCTTTCTTACCACCCTACAACCTAGCCTCTCCTATTAACTTTAAATCCACTAAGGATATTTATTTATAATCAGTCCTTTTTATTATTGCTGAAGAGAGAAAACTGGAAAGTATCCTCAGTCATCATTACAAGAGACTATTTGTTAAAAGTCCCTGCACTACCTTTCTGGCCACTCGGCGAGGCTTGTGAGATCTTAGTTCCCTGACCAGGGATCGAAACTGGGCCCTAGGCATTGAAAGCGTGGAGTCCTAACCACTGGACCACCAGGGAATTCCAAAGTCCCTGCACTATCTTTGGTTCACATGGTAAATTTACTTCTCAGAGTCTATTTTTCCAGTTGGTGTAATCATGATTGTGCCTCTCATGCCTCATGGAGTATAAGTAAACAGGAAAATATGAACCATATTAAAAATTATGTAAGATCAAAATCATTACTTAGACGTTAGTATCATTTTTTTATTGGTGTCAATTATTTTGTAAGCATACAGTGAAGAACCATCGTTGGCCATGTATTTTTGCTGTTTCATGCCCAAGTGTATCTTCAAGGTTATAGAAAGAATATATTGGTTCTCAAAGAGCTTAAATTTTATCTGGAAGAGAGACAGCAGTATAAAGAAAGCAGTATAAAATATATATGAAATACTTCTATAGATGTAACATGATAGTATAAAAGGAAGTGTATTATGCCACTAGAATGCCAATTAGAAGAGCAATAAGAATTTGGGGGTTATGAACAAGAAAGGCTCTTGAAAAAGGTTCTTGGGTGAGATTTTGAGGGAATTTTAGACATGAACTTATAGGAGAGAGAGGTGAAATTATTCTAGCAAATGGTATTTTTCGCAAAGCTTTTCTTTCCAGAAGCTTATTAAGTTCACATTTATTCTTCTTCTGCAGAATTTTGAAGGAGATTTTGTACCATGTTGGCACAGAGTTGATTTTATTTTAATGCTCAAGAATATGTAGACAGTCAAGTGTACTATATTCAGAAATAGGAAATGAGAGAGAATAATGTGAATAGATAATCATCTCCAGTCCCAGTTCAGTCTTGGCATTTTCCTTCACTCTACTCAGTAGAAATATTTTACTTCTGTAGGAGATAATAAGACATTTAATATGTGGATACTGACCTTAGTGAGCTTACAATTGCTATTAGAGGTTTAGGCACCTAAGTGAGAAGTTGAACGATATGCAGTAGTTACCTAGACATTCTAGAAATGTCACAAGGTAGTGGCTGATAAATATTAAAAAATATCAGTGCTGACAAGTCCTAGTATAGTTCATAGGAGGTAGAAGCTTTGGGAGCTGGCTTGGAGGAAAAGGGCTTCATGAAGGAGATATACCTTAGAATCATTTCAGCAGGAAACCATAGAGGTCCTCTAACCCAACTAGATGAATCCCTTCTGCCACATCACTAATCAATGGTTCTTTTTTTTTTTAATCCTCTCCAGTAATAACAGAATTCACTTTCATGAGACATCCTGCTTCAAGTCCTTAAAGAGAATGTTCTTCCTTATGCTCAGCCTCAAATTAGCCTCCTTATTAAGTCTGATAGTGTTATCCAGAGCTTCCCAGCCCCTGTATCCATCATCCTCAGGTGCCCCAGTATACTACAGATGTGCTGGTTTATCTCTTCCCTTGGGCCCCCTAGCTGTCTTGCAGGGCCTGAAGTACCCACAGCACCAGGATGATGGCCATGAGAAACCTACTGTGTTTATCCCAGTGCAATACATATGATCACTTCTTATTTATGCTCTGCTGTGAAAATGATTGTGAAGCATTGCTCAGTATAGTGTAGTGGTGAAGATAGACACGAGTTGGAATCTTGCCTCTACCAGTTACTTATTACTTCTAATACCTTGGGAAAAAGACATTTTCAATACTCAATTTCTACACTGTAAAATGGGTATAATAATACTGGCTCCCTTATAGAGTTGGTCTAAGAATTAAAGATAACACATTAGGACAAATAAATACTATTATTGTCATTGGTTCTGCTTTTCCCTTTTTTAACCACAATATAGAATTCCTCTTCTATTCATAAACTTCAAATAATTTAAAGTTAGTTTTTGTTTCCTCTGAGTCTCCTCCTCTGGCTAAATATCCCAAGTTCCTTTAGCATCTCCTTGTCCAACGTGAGTTTAAGTTTCTTCAACATCTTAATTGCTCTCTTCTGGACACTGCATGGTGTCTTTGGGCTCCCTTTTAAATATATAGTACTAAGAACAGAATGCACCCCAGCAAATGTGGCTTGATGAGCTAATCCTTGAAGCGTGGAGGGAATAGGGGAATGAGGAAAGGATATTCTCACTGGAAAACAGTGTAATTAATGAGTGAAGGAGAAAAAGCCATAATAGATATGTCATGTTTAGCAACAGATGGGCTTAACTGGCTAAAAGAGAGTCATAGTGAGAAAAGATTTAAAGGTGGTATATTATGAAGTCCCTGGAACTATGAGACTATGAATTCTATCAATATAAAGGAAAACCAACAAAATCATCATTATAGGAGATTGATCTATTATTTGAAAGCAAGCAACCACAGAATTTATGTGAGCTACACACAAGCAGGAAGACGTTATATTATAACCCTTCTCTTGCTCCCCTTTGATAAAAACAATCAATAACCCTAGAATCACCCCAAAGGAGATGCTGAAAACTTGGAGACAATTCACAAACCGCACATTCTGTTTGGCTGTTGGCTGTCGCAGTGTTGGCTGTGGTTAGAAAGAGGTTGGTGACCCAAAGAAGTTACTTTGTCCTGTCCTAGGAATCACATCTCAGTAGCTTCAACTTCCAGATTTCCTTTATTCCTAACCCTTTCTTTTCTTGCCTTCTGGTCCTTTTTCCATTCTTTCAATTTGCATAATGCTTAGGACCTTTGGGGGTTCATGCCACCTCTACCGAGTACTAGCTGTATGACTTAGGGCAAATTACTCAGCTTCTTTGTTATTCAGTTTCCTCTTTTGTAAAACTCCATCTTTACAAAAGTGGATTTTTACAGGACTTTAAAAATTAACTGTGGGGCTTCCCTGGTGGCGCAGTGGTTGAGAGTCGCCTGCCGATGCAGGGGACACGGGTTCGTGCCCCGGTCCGGGAAGATCCCACATGCCGCGGAGCGGCTGGGCCCGTGAGCCATGGCCGCTGAGCCTGCGCGTCCGGAGCCTGTGCTCCGCAACGGGAGAGGCCACAACAGTGAGAGGCCCGCGTACCGCAAAAAAAAAAAAAAAAAAAAAAATTAACTGTGACCGTTAAATGAGCTAATGTATCCAACGTGATTAGAAGAGAGCCTGGCAATAGTAAGTGCTATGTATGTTAATTATTGTTATTTTGGGTCATTATTATTCAAACACTCTGCTAGGCACAGGGGATGCAGAGGAGAACAGGACAATCCCTTACCCTCAATGTTCACATTTCTCCTGATTTTGTGACCAAGGCAATGACTTTGGAAGCAGATTCTTGGATACAATTTATTAGCAATCATTAATTGTCTTTGTAACCCTGGATGAGGCACTTAATTCCTCTGAGCCTCTTTCCTTATCTGTAAAATGAGGATTAATGAAATCTACGTGGAGGATTTGTTCTGACTTTTAAACAAAACGAAATATGCATATTGCCTGGCACACAGTTGTAACTAAATATACACTCCTTCCCTCATAATCCTGTGGCCACACCTGAGGCTAGGGGACCTAACCCTGAGTTTAAGAGCCAGCGATTTCTTCTAACGTGCCAGGCCGGAGCACGGAGGTATAGCGGGAACTCGTCTTCAGGAAGGGCAAAAGCGAGAACGTAGGACAGAAGAGAGACAGGAGGGAGGCAGGGAGGCCGAACCGCACTACATCTCCCGGGATGCTCAGCAAGAGGGAGAGCCGAGCCCCGCCCCGGCCCGCCCAACCGGTACAGCAGGCGCTGCCCACCCCACGGAGCCCGGCGGCGCGCAGAGGCTACAAGTGCTGCGGCTTGTGAGCGGGGTACTTTCCCGAGGAGCCGCGCAAGGACAAGCGCGCGGTGCTCGAGCCTCGCTGGGTGGCCAAGGCAGGAGGTGAGTGGCGGAGAGAGGACGGGGAGGAGGCGCTGGGGCGAGGGAGAGACCCCGAGAGCCTGGCCGAGCGTCCCCAGTCCTTGCCCAAGGTGCCTGCCTTGCCTTAGGGTATTTGGCGAACGCAGCCCAACACTGGGTACCTCGGCGGACGCGGAGTTCACCCGGAATGGATTGACTGATTCCGCGAAGGACACCGCTGCCCGGAGCTCGCGGCGCGCCCTTCCCGCACAGCGCGCGCAGGACGGATCCCGAGGTCGCCTCCCCCAGACCAGCCTCGCCTGTGTCAGTTAGTTCCAATGCAAATATTACTGTCCTTAATTGCTGGCAGACGGACGAGGGAGAGTGCTGACCCCTCGTTTTGCGGTGCAGTTTTATTAACCGCACTCTTAAACCAGAGACGAGAGGGAGTAGACTGAAGCAAAGAGCCTTTAGCTGGTCCCCTGGGATTATCCATTCTCCCCTGAGAATGGAAGCCCCGGATAACGGAGCTGCAAAGGAAATCGACTGTGCGGCTTGTTCCGATGGAACAAGCAGTCTCCCTTTTAAGAGAAAAAGAAGCAGGAGAAGGGAATTAAGTGGAGATTTCTCTCCCTCTTTGTTATAAATTGGAAGTCCCATAAGGGACTCTGCCGATGTTTATCTAAAGTAATCCAATTTGATGGGTTATTTGTGCCAATGGTTAATCACAGCGCCTAATGTTTGAGGGAACTGCGAGATGATTTCTCATTTCAGTAATTGGTCAAACCCGTTATCATCGCTTCCTTCACTGAGGGATCCTGCAGTGGGGGTCTGTCCACCTACTAAAGGAAAGCTCTGGTTCAGTTGTGTTTTTCCTGCACCTGATTTTTTTGGTTTGCTTTTGTTTTGGGTTTGGTTTTTATCTGTTTTAGCCCCAGAGAAACGCCGATAATAGGAGAGAAGTGTGTGCGTGTGTGTGTGTGTGTTTTAAACTCTAATGTAGAACAGAAAACATGTAAATTTCCTCTCCCATATTTTAAGTGAGTTGCCAGGTGGACTTTAGGTTAGCCTACCTGCGTTTCTGTGTGGGTTTACCAGCTGCTGGGATGTGGATTTTGAAGCATAATAAGCCTCCAAGACATGAGTTAAATCAGTTATTACCCTGAACTTGGAAGCAAAATAAAAAGGGCCCTTGCTTGAAACCTCTGTACTTGGTAATAGTGGAAAGTACATTTTTATTCCTCAGAAAGATGGCAGAGGCAGAGAAAGATGGGCAAGTGGTTTTCTGCTCAACACAAACTTCTATCCCATAAATGTGCCTTGCTGTGGCTGAGGGCATGAGACGGATACAGAGTTCCAGAGGTAACTTTGGAAATAGCTTTCCACCTATTTGCCTCAACAAAACTGTGACTCTGTGGGTTGATGATTTGTCTTTTATTGTCAGTTTACTTCTAGGTTGGATTTGTGAAAACTTCTAGACAGTTGATTTCCTGTACACATTTGTTAGCAAACCATGCCGAGGTAGAGGAACTCATACCCACTCAGACCCAGTGAGTGGGAGTAGCAGACCTATACCTGGAGCAGGCAGCTGTGTGTGTGTGTGTGTGTGTGTGTGTGTGTGTGCGTGTAGGAGAGGGCTAGCCCATTGTGTTTTGCAGAGATCACACAATGAGGTGTGTTGTCCACATACTTTTGGGTCCAGAACATGCTACCACCATCTGGCAGTAAGCTGAGAATGGAAGCACTGTGAACAAGGCTGTGTGACTAGGGTCTCTGGATATACAAAGTGTAAGGTTAGGAGGGGTGGCTGATCAAGCTAGCCATCTTTCACCCATTTCAGAGCTACCCAGTCAAAATGCTGAGCCCCAGCTCCAACAGAGCCCAACTGATAGTGACATACTGATTGGTTCACCCATGGTGACGCTCTAACACTAATCTGTTTTAGAATCTGTTCTGAACTACAGAGAGTCTAAACACTTATAATTTAACTGAATTGTTGAGAAGTCTGTGCTTCCCTAGATTCTTCAGAAAATCAGCAGCTCTGCTAAAAAAGGTCCCTGCTTTTCTCATTTGTATCTCTATGCAGGAAACCTGCCTTCTCGTTTGAGGGATCCTGTCACCGAAATGTGTGAGTCCTTGGATAAATTTGGCTTGGTGACGGCAATGCTTTCTTCAGAGACACTGCCACTTCCTCCATGTTCCTTTTCTACCCTGGCCTAAATTTCTCAGTGTTAATCCCTGTGATAAGTCAGAGGATTTGCCCTTCTCACACTTTCCCACCACTAGGTAGCCTCTCCTTTCTCTTACCTCTTTTAGGAGGAATTGGGGCTGAAGTGTCAAGACCTGTGGCTACAAAGGAGATGAGGGCCTCAGGAGCAATACTGCTGGTGGTACAGCCTTAGCTCCTGTTGGGTTCTTATCTAACTGTGTTGCTACTGGCAGACTTTCTGGAAGCTGCTGGGGGATGTCTGACTAGCTCCAATGGAGCTCCACTATCTTGCTAAGAAGAGCAGCCAGGCAGCCCTGTGTGATGCTGTGGACTGGAGTTCAGGAGGGCTTCCCAGGGACCAGGCAGATGCAGCAGCCACTAAAGCTGCTCTCTGCTGCCAGAGACATTGTACGTGGACACCAAGAGCACCAGAGAGGGAAGGGTCTAAACTTAGCCCTTCTCCAGCATCCCCTCCCCCCTCACTGCAAGACACTGCTATTCAGCTAGACTTCTTGCCACCAGGGCTTCTCAACTCAGGGAACAACCAAATAACAGCAGAACAGAAAGTCTGTGACTGCTGTAGCCAGGAATTAGAAACCTCTTTTACCTATGAGGATGAGAATATCAACCTGGAGCAAAGGAACCGGCGTTCCCCTTCAGCAAAAGGGAGTAAGCACCTGGGAGACCTTGGCTGGGGAAATCCAAATGAGTGGTCCCCCGAGGCTCCCATATCGCTGATATCCGAAGATGAAGATGATGCAAGCTCGGAAGCCACCTCTTCAGGGAAGTCAGTAGACTATGGTTTCATAAGCGCCATCTTGTTCTTGGTCACTGGCATCTTGCTGGTGATCATCTCTTACGTTGTCCCACGGGATGTGACTGTGGATCCCAACACTGTGCCGGCCCGGGAGATGGAACGTCTGGAGAAGGAGAGCGCGAGGCTGGGGGCTCACCTAGACCGCTGTGTGATTGCCGGCCTCTGCCTTCTCACCCTTGGGGGGGTCGTTCTTTCCTGTTTGCTAATGATGTCCATGTGGAAGGGGGAGCTATATCGGCGTGACAGGTTTGCCTCTTCCAAAGAGTCTGCGAAACTCTACGGTTCATTCAACTTCAGGATGAAAACCAGCACTAATGCAAACACCCTGGAGCTGTCCTTGGTAGAGGAAGATGCTCTCGCTGTACAGAGTTAATTCTGGTTGTGAACTTCTTGAGAGTCTGCCTTGGCATTTTATATGAACAGAACAAAGCAAAGCAAAACAAAACACAACACATTTCTTAAAATTAACAGTGCAGTTTATTTGCCTGGCGAGGAAAGTCTATTTCCCAAACGAACAGCCAGTGAGTGTTTTTGTTCTCTATGTACTTTTATTTAGAAGAAAAGCCATGTAAGATGCATGAAGAAACCGCAACCAGCTTCACCAGTCCTCAAGAGCTGAGAGTAATTAATCTGTAGTGGCCATCAGCTTCTACTTCTATAGCAAAATACTTCTAACAATCCAGTGTGCAAACGTTTTTTTTTTTACATGATATGGGATATTATTCTTTGGACACTAGGAGGTGTAGGATCAATTAGCAACCTATTTTGTGAAAAAGAATGTAAGCGCTAATCACATAATAAGGCTTACATTTAATTCTCAAAGGTGCTTATCCATTTTCTTGCTAAATTTATTCTTCCTGTAATTCGGCTAAACACTAAAATATGGGGTTTTGACTTTGAATATTTCGAAGCTTGAAGATACTGATTATTAAAAAACGCAAAAACACATATGTTATATTCAAAACTATTCCAGTACACAGAAGTGGTAACTAAGTCATTAGAATAAACTTTCTAGTAAAATAAAATTATATAAATCAAACAATCTGAATTTAACCCAGAATGGTAGTGTCAGATATTAGGCAGTGTCACATGCCCATTTTCTAGATGAAGTAAAATTAATTGCTGATATAAATTTCATTTTCTGTTTGTGATTTAGCTATCATACTGGTTATGCACGCTCTTGAAGTCTTTCCTGGTTCTCACACCAGAGAGGCAAGAATAAGATGTTTTTATCCTATTTCCAGATATCTAAGCATCTAGGCAGGTTGACTCATGATTGGCTCAGGCACACTCCCAGGTGACATTTTGTTGTTTGGAGAAAACCTCCAATACAAGTGCAGCTAGACTCTTGGGGACCATGCCTAGAAACTGGTGTCACTTACTCAGGCCAAGCAACAAGTCATTGTGCCAGGATGGCAGCAGTCCTTAAGCTCACAGCCAAAAATATTAAAATGAGAAGAGAGAGAGACAGACTAAACACACTGATTCAGTGGGAACTGCACTCCTCACCAGAATCCACCTGCCCCTAACAATGGTCTAGGCATCATTCTGAGCACCTAATATCCAGGCCCTGAGTACCTGTGAGATCTTGCCTCATGAATTCAAACTTGCTTGATTAGAAGTACCATGAGCAAAACAGTAAATATTTTTTAAAACACACACCTAGCATCCATGCTAACTCAGTGTCTTGGTACGGTTATGGTTCAAGAAGGGGATGGGGAATGCAGCCTCAGAAATATCTTGCATTTTAGAATTCTTCTCTGAGGTGTTTCCAACTTCCCACTTCAGGAGTTGTTTTAGTTTCCATTACTTTGTTACCAGGATCAGTGGGGCCATTCTTAAAGAGGACTGGAGCTGGGAATTGGGGTGGGAGGGCAGGGAAGGGGAGGTGAGAAAGTGATTTCTTTGTAGATTCTAAAGCCTAATTCTAATGTCTGAAGTTTTTGTTGTTATTGAAGACTGTGGAATATGTGGGTGACTTTGGCTGGCAGAGTGTGTGAGTCAGGATATTTATGTGAATGAGCTCTTGTGGGTGTCAGATTGATTTGATGAGTTAGGTACGCTATGTGTTAGTAAGGGTTAAAGCGAAATGCAAAAAGAGAAGATCAGAGGATAATAAAAATAGTGAGGACAGATGTGTGAAAGAATTATTAGGTTAAAATGGTAAATTATATGGACATCAGAGGAAGCTGGATGTAGCTGGATTACCTTATCCTATGTAACAGACTATTATTGATTTGGAAATAGTTGGTATAATATAGACATGATTTCTGTTTTCTACTGCTTTTTGAAGAAACTTCTGTTTTACCGTGACTCTCGTGTGTTGAGGCCAGCTTAACAGCAGTATAAATTTCATATTCTGAAGGTTTATATATAAATTTTCGGATTCTAGCCTGCTTGAGGATCTACTTTGCGTGACGTTGAGGCAATAAGGGAATGATCTCCTTGGCTTCGTGAGTAGGTCTGAGCTGTGTGGTTTTTTTAAATATACTTTTAAAAAATACATGTTTATTCAGAGATGCTAAATGGCATCAGCTGAGTTTTGTTTTTATTTATTGATGAAACAGGATTAATTAGTCAAATTGCAGACAAACAATTAATGAGCAGCCTGATTTTCAGCTTCTGAAGTAAAGACAAATTTGAGAATCAGGTGTTAGGACATTTTTTCAGTTCTGTAAAACTGATGATAAAGGAGAAAAAGTCAAAGCTCTTCATTTGGAAGCACTTAATGAATGTTGTAGTGCTACCAAACTACATATAGTTCTGATGTGATCTAAAGGATATATATTCCTACATATATATTCATATACATATATGTATATATCCCAATTAGGAAAAAACATTCAGGGAAAAAAAGACTTGGGATATATTTCTTCCTTTTCTTCCTTAAACTTTTAAAATTGAAATATAGTAAGTATATGCTTACTTATGTCAACATTATTTAAATCTGCTCATATATAGGGCAGATATGTAGGGCATATCTCTTTTAACTTCTTTTATGTGGGCAGACCATTACTCCAAAAGGAACCAATTCAGAACATCATCTGGGTGTCTCCTCTAGTGCTGTGTTGACATGATTTAGACAACTGCCTTAATCAGTTATGATTTCCCCAGGTATTCAGCTGTGTAGCTCTAGTTCATCCTGTCAGTGCCTAAATTCAAGAAAAAGATTAACTGAATTTAAAGTGATGGTAACACAGGTAACAAAAAACCCTGAACTTTAGACACTGTTTTTTCCAATCTGATAAAGAGGGTTTGGGGCTCTAAATATATTTATTTAGAAGTACTTTGGCAACATCAGGTGATACTGTTATAGTCACTGAACAGACCATAGCTATGGTGCTGGTCTTGGAGCCTTCCTGGAGATTTGTGACTTTACGCCTATCTCTTTAACATGGTGCTGGTTGTTATCTATGAGAGCTTTTATTGCTAGACCTGGAGAAGCAGAACTCTTTTTGCAGAGGTCCATAGTTTAGGTCTTTAACTTTTTACCAGGTTTTAGAAAACTAAACTTAGAGTCACCTTCCTAATCTTAAAAGAAGACAGCTCATTGTTCAGCGTTGAGACCCAAAGCTGCCTTTCTCTATTACTACTGGGATCTACAGGCTGCTAACGAACAATTTAATTGTCTTAATGACTTTAATAAAAACTGTTCCTTTTTAGTTCACCTTAAACTGTTTGTGGCAGAGCGGCCGTGATTTCTTTGCAATGTTGTGTGTCCTTTTTAGCCATCTGGAACTCCTAAAGCAGACCATCTCATATGATGTACTGGCTCCCTCATAAGAAGAATGTCTTTCCTCCAGGCTCCCCATTTCATAGCTGGTTTGTAGTTTAGAGGATTACAGGACTGCTTGGAACCATGAAATTCTTCGTGGCTGTGGGTGTTTTTACCCACAAAATTGCCATGCCCCTTGATGCTATACTACCTAGCTACTTGCCTTGCTATCAGTCTCACATGCTTTACTGTCTGCTTAAAATATGAGTCCATCCCTCTCATACTTAATTGTTTTAGGGACCCAACTGGACCAATACTGGCACATGTCCTTCGAGGTGCAAATTTAGACAAAGAGACTGCCCTAGCAAATTCCTTTGTGCCTTCCCTTTGCTGCTGGGCATAAGGATAAATGAGTGAGTGAGAATTATGTCAATTGAATATCAGGAATTAAAGGTGTGAATCCAAGTGGCTCTACTTTTTGTTACTTCTTTGTGAGAGGCAAAAATTCTGGGCAAGAAGATTTGAACATTTTAGCCTTCATCTTTCACACGTGCAATGACAGGCACATGCAAAACCTGTATTATTCATATAAAGTTAAACAAAAAATGTTCTATATATATATTAGGAGAAGGTTTTCCAATCTGAAGGTCAGATTCCATTGCAGCAATAACTGCTACCACAAAAATGTGGTCTGATGAAAGAGATTCACAACCTTCACCAATGGTTCGCCTGTTCAGCAAGATTTAATACCACCAACTATATTCCACTGTGACAAAGGAATAAGACAGATCCTTATAGTTCTCTGTAATGGGGTTTACCCTTTCGCAGAATTGGGCATAAAGAATGACTACAATAAAAAGAATTATGATGAAATCTCACTGGCTTTTCTCAGTATAAAATGGTTTGTAAAGAGAATTGACATATCGGCTTTCAGCTGATTTTCAGCCATATCATTTTATGGTTCATAGTGTTCTATAATATTCTTTCCTTCCAACTTTCGTATGGGCATAAGCCTTGGGAAGTAATTGGCCTGACTTGTGCACTAGCACTGTAAAAAGAAAGATGTTATTTTAAACATAAAAAACTGATTTCATAAATCCATGGGTTACTTTTAAGAGTGCGCCTGTCTATCATTTCTGTTTGCTAGTGTGCAAGTTTATGTACACTCAAGTCCATGTATCTACTAGGAGAATATTTTATAATTATAGAACTGTAATATTTAAAGCTATCATTAGAATAATTTTCTTATAGGAAACTTGGCATGCCTTAATGTTGACTTTAAGGACAAGAGAAGTCTTTCACAGGTCATGAATGAAGAATTTGCCGTCAACCTCAGAATGAGATGCCATAATTACATGGATTGTTTGGTTATTCAGCTTCCTGCAGATGTTTAATTTACATTTTTAACCTCCCAATTTTAGGCTCAGAAAAGTGTGGCATATTTAGAAATCATTTTACCATGATTATTATTTTATTTCAGGGAAATATGAGTAGCAGACAGTGTTTTCCTCTGCTTTATTAATTCTCCTGTGTTTCAGGAAGAGCCAGCCTTGTTTTCCCACTACCATCTTCATGCTTCCTAGCCAGGCTCCAAACAAATGTCATACAAGAAAGCAAAGATAGGTTATTCTATATAGTGTATTGAGAGTTTTAGTTTTATGGTTCTCATCGTGCTTTAAATTTTACTGTTCTTGCCAAACAAGAAAAATAATTTGATGTTGATTATTTGTTTTTGATATTCTAAAAGGGCAGTTATTAAGGTTCTTGGCTTTTTATTAGGGCATTTGATGCCATATATGTTAATAG